CACACACACACACACACACACACACACACACACACACACACACACACACTTTTAAAGCCTTCCAGTCTGAGTTTACTGAGACTGCAGTGGTTTTAAGACTCTACTTAGTGGCTTTGTGGCATTCCCAAGGACAAATACACACACACACACATGCACACAAACACACACACAACCGCACACAAACACACACACACGGGGGCACTTGCCACAGATTGAACAAACTTGTTTGATTATTTGAGTGCTGCACGTCGAGGTCCTTCGCCGTGCACCTAAAGCCTCCATCTTTAAAGTGTTGCTGCATCTGTGAATTATTCAGAGCCAGCCGACGTGCAGCACTGCAGCCCAACGTTACACAAAGTGCAGACTTTACGTAACAGCGACTGCAGATGGTCGCCGAAGCTGCTGTACACATATCAAGCTAAGATAAATGAAATGTCGGCAGCTGCTCAGTTTCAGCAACACTTCTGAACAATATTCTGAGAAGCAAAGCTGCGTAAGTGATTCATCTCTGTGTTTGTCACATGAGAGCTGTGAGTCGGCATCAACTGTTTCCATTACGCTTCCTGGCCGTGGATGCGCAGAAACACTTGTCTGTTGTTACCTGTCGTCTGTGTTAAACTAATGAAACAGCAAAGTGATGCAACAATAACATGTTCACTATTGACGAGCCCGCGCTGGCTACAGCATGCTTACAGACAGAAACCATGCTGCTATGAACTGCTCAACAGATGGCTTCACCAACTCCAGAAGCTTCCAGGACATGAGCAGACACTTCATGTATGCTTTAGATGATACAGGTCCACAGGACGGACATTCTGACGGACGGACGTAAAGTAGTCAGCAGGACAGCAGGTGATGCGTTTGTGGCCGAAGCCCTCTTACCTCGGTCACTCCAGCAGTAGGAGGTGGTGCTGTGGTGCTCATCGTGGGAGTACATAGTGACTCCGTGTAACTGCTGCAGCATTGCCCTCCTGGATGCATGCCCTATTTGTCCCCCACAACATGAACCCCATAGGACAAAGCACAGCGGCCACCACCAGAGAAACAGATACACACATGTGTAACCATCCAGACAGACAGACGGACAGCAGTACGAGAATGACAGGAGGGAAAGAGAGAAAGAAGCCACTGAGCATGGAGCTTCAAATATACACCAAGACAGAGAGAGCTGCACAGGAGGCTGCTCGGCTAACTTTCTGCTGCCCAAACAACCTTTGACTCTCTTCCTGTTTCTGTCTGGACCCCTTTTAGCACCGCCTGCTGTAGTAAACGCTGGTGGACAAAGAAGCAGGCTTCTACTCGTCACCTGCTGTGATAAGGTGCACCTAATACACTCTACTGAAGGACGACCGCACAGCCCTGTTGCACACAACCAAAACTTTAATCGAGCTTCCTTTGAAACTGCCGCAAGTGCAAAACTGGTTTCAAAGCAAGTGCAGTGTGAGCGAGAATCGGCTGCATGCTAAACTGGAACAACAGGTGATGTGAAGGATCTTTTTCAGGAAGACCAATATGTGCTAAAATTGTGGTGCATTGACGACAGAGCTGAACAACGCTGCTGCAAACACGGCACAAACTGTTCCTCGGCTGTGAGTCCGGATGGCAGCCGCTCAGTTTCGCAATGAGTCGCCGGGGTGTGTTTACGCTGTGTGACAGAGCCTGTGGGGTGCCGGCTAATGAAAGTCAGGCGCAGCGGTACTATGACAGGACACAGGGACCCCTGGGGGGCCCTCACAGGGAGCTGGAGGCAGGCAGGCAGTGTCGGGGAGGTGATAAGGGGAAGGCAGGCAATCTGAAGTTGAGAGACAATGTGCTCGATTTATGCAGTGATGTTTGCACAAGCACACACGCAGGTTAGAGGGACACACACCTGCAGACTCTTATCTATGGACTGCAACACAAATGAACATGATGCATATTCAGCTGTTTGTTAAACTGGCCTGTCGTTGCAAAGCATTAAATTTGGTGTGCAAAGCTGAGTCACCTCAGTTTTGCAATGCGATCCAATAACGTCCGTATTTTACTGCCTGTGTTATTTTTGTATTCTGTAGGTGAGCAGACCCTGTGAGCCTGCGCGTGGGCTGCAGCAGAGGTACAAAAGGGGAAGCAAACACTTGTTCTTAAACAATGCCCAGTGTGTCTGCAGGCACTGCTCGTGGCATCACACAGAAGTATTTTTAATATTTAAAAGGTGGCTGCCCGACCGAGATGGGAGGTATGGAAATGTTTACTGCGCTCCGACTCTGCTTCCCTTGCCATTTCCCTCCTCTGTGTCCTTGCCCTGCGTGCAGATCTCATTAACATCGGGCTAATTTCTCGCACTGCTTGTTGACCTTTAATTATACTGGTGAGCCTGCTGGCTCTTCACTGTGGTACCCAGTGCAAGTGATAAACAACAGTGCCAAAGGTAGGTGATAGACAGGGAACAAGTGTGCTGAGAAAAGCCACTGTTCAGGTATAAAATGTGCTCATTAAGGCCAGTATAGACCTTCTTTTCCCATTTTATCATCTTCTTCTCCTTCTTGCAGCGTCCTGTTAGTCAGTGTAAACAATTAGAGAATATGGCTCATCCAAGCTAACTGTGGTGTCCTCCTTCAGTCTGTAGCTGTTTAAATCCATATTTATCATGTATCCTATTTTGTTCTACAGACCTGGGATAAATGTTTAAAAGACTTCACAGAATCACGGTCCCTGAAACACGAGTGCAACTCAAATATTAGGTTATGTAATATCCTGTGTACTGAGTGGACTTTCTAAGTGGGCAGCACAAGAAGCAAAGCTGGAGCCGTCTCCACACTGTAAAAAACAGCATGTGCTTTAGAGCACATGAAGGCTGTGTTATTCCAGGTCAAATAAAATAAGATGCATTAAGACAAACATGACAAAGTGCAATGACAAGCCCAAAGCTCTGCGCCTCCAACAGCCTGCGTGTGCACAGGCCTGCAGCAAAACCACCCTCGTGTTCTGGACGCTTTCATGACAGCTGCAAAATCATTAGAGGCAGAAGGACACTCGGTGTGTTAGTGGATGCTCAGGCAGCGTTCTAACACACTTAAAAAGCTAAAATAACAACGTTTTCTTTCCATTTGGTGTTAAATTTCTTGGAATGGCTTCTTGGCTTCTGCCTTTATTTTGAAGTAAAGCCTGATGCAAACAGAAGGTCCGGGCAAAATGTTTCAATGCATCGGGCTGCGCTCGAGTCAGGTGCAGCTAGGCAACCGGCATGGCTATGCTAATCACCACGGGCCCACGCTAGTATACAGTTTCATGGAAAATTACGCAACAAGTCTGTTGAACAGTTTCTTATGCATATTTTCACAGCAGCTTTGAATCATCTGCATCGGTGTGGTTGGTGATGCAGCTGGAGCCCCGACCGTGGCTTTAATAAAACATTCAGCTTATGCTAATGAAAAACTGCTTCCCTCTCGGTTCCAGGTCACTCTTGTATAATGAGGTCGGTGAAGATGGCGGCATGAATTTAATTGCAGAATTGCTGTAAAAGGGTCAGCTGTACTCCGGAGTAACGCACACGTGTTCTTAAGAGTGCCTGTTGATGATCCCAGCGTAGAAGCCTTTGGACGTGCAGAGCCCGGTGTGCTGAATCTGATCATCTGCCAAACTGTGGTGTGCTAATGTTTCCTGCAGTTTGGCTACAATAACTGTGACATTTGGGAAACTGTCACAATGTTGAGCCTCCTATGGAGAGATTAGTTTGTCGTGACCTGACTGAGACTGTAAATCTGGCGGCGCCCGCGTCTAAGCGAACACGACCCACCAGTGGACCACGAGTGGAGCTTTGCAGGAGTGTACTTTCTGCAAGGGACGAGTTTATGTGGTGCATCAGCACTTAGAAAGCCAGTGATTCATCAGGTGTACACGATGATTGGGCCCACTGTGACTGATGTACACGGGCTGTGTGACAGGCTGCTGCAATCTGCTCCACACTTTAGATCAGACCCTGCATCATTAGACGACTCCTCCACCCTCGGGGCCGACGGCCATCCGGTCTGAACCTGCTCTTAGGCTGCTGTTGTTTATTTTTAACACCTTCTGAATATAACCCGACCCTGTGAATCACCACAGAGACAAAGAAGCTCGCAGACACTCCCACTGATACTTCTGCTGCTCTTCTCCAACTGAAGCAAGATCATAAAACTTTTAATATGACAGGACAGAGTCAGAGTCCTGTTAGAACGAACAATCTGCATCTACTTTTTATGTTTATTCAAAGTAAATGGACGCCCTGCATTAGTGTTGTCTGTCAGGCTGTGACAGACTAAGTGTTACAATTCACACAGAATCTGTAATTACGTGGTTGCTAATCCTGCATGAGGCCATTTCTCTGTCACTTCTGAGGTCAGCAACTCGAAATTATACTGCTGGGATCGCAGTTTAAGTCTTCACTTGACAGGACGTTTATGTGTTTTTCTCCCTTCGTCTCGTTTGTCACGCGATGTGTAAAAAAAGAAAGGAAAACTTTATCCAACAAAGGTCAAAAATTCATTCTCATTTTGTCTTTAAGATAGTCATGCTGTCTTGGGGAGATAAGGAAAAATGAATTATCAAGGCTTTTATGTTTGTCTTAAAGCAGCAGTTCTTGTTCAGCCAATCGTAGTTCAAATGTTCTGAGAGGAAAGTGAAATGTAACACCAAAGCCAGCAGGGGGCGACCTCTGTCTGCATCTGTCGATCACCACAAACATCTTCCCAGTTATCTCACGTTCTGCTTCAATTTCTGTAATATTTTGGCCACCTAAAAAAAATCAGTCTCAGAGTGAAGATGGACTAAAAGAAACACAAAGACTGGTTCTGCACTTCTGTACTAAAATTAGCATCTCACCTGTGATGTCATTCAGCGGTTTGTAGGGTCCCATTACGAGACATCGAGATGAGCATTTTATCATTCCTGGTGTTTTGGAATCAGATTTAATGAGGGAGGGGGACTAAGCTCGTTGTTCATCAGCCAATGAGCATGCCCTGGATTATATCCCTGACTCAGTCCAAAATTCCAAAGTGGACTTGCTTGGATGTCTCCAAATGAGCGACTGAACGCATAAATGGCTTAGGAAGTATCGCCCCCTGGTGGCCATTAGGGTCAATGCACGTTTAAGGCACTTGAGCTTGCCACTATCATTCTCCTGTATTATCTAGAGCTAATACGGTATTTTCCGCACTATAAGGCGCACTTAAAATCCTTTAATTTTCTCAAATTATGAATTCTGATCGTGCTTACTGACCTTGAACCGATTTTATGTGCTACACGGCGCTCAAAAATCTGTCAAAAATGTTTTAGTGCGACTGTGGTAAGCTACGAAGCCGCACTGCGTGATGGATTGTTGGAGCATTACAGCTACTGTAGTCAGGAGCCTCACGGAGGAATCTGGGTCCTAAACTCCGTCATTTTCAGGTCCCAAAGTCAAACGAACACTGCGGCATCACTGAGAGTTAAAAACTGTCTAAATTCTTTCATCTTTAATAAAATCATCAGTGTTGCTGCTTTACCAGGTGTAACAATTAAGTTTAACATCCAGGCATCCACGAAAACAGGATTTATTAAGTTTAACAGAGTTAGAAGTTAGCAGGAAGTTAGCTCGCTAGTTAGCTAAACATGATATAGCATGTTCTGACTGAGAGATTTCTGGAAAATTCAAACGTACAGCTCTGCTATCACTTCCA